GAAGTGGTGAAAAATAAGAATGAAAAGGATTTATTTACATTATTAGACAGTTACTAATGAATTTGTAAACAGACAATGATAAAAAGTTAAGAAAAGACATCTTGGCTGAAAAGTAAGGCATCTGCATTTCTTACATTAAGACAATGGTAAATAGAACAGTGAATCTGACATGGTTTGAAAAGAAATAATTTGGGGAGAAAACACTGATGAAGAAAATGGAAGGCTGTGGTGGTTAATGTGATATTTTTCTAAGTAGTTTTCCAAGATTTGTATTTGCATATCTCACATATTGAAGTGAAACCATTGATGTTAAATATAGCCATGCATTGCTTAACGACGGGGATATGTTCTGAGAAATACATCATTAGGCAATTTATCATTGTGCAAACATCAGAGTGTGCTTATACAAACCTAGATGGTATAGCCTATTACATCACTAGGCTCTATGGTAAACCACCGTTGTATATGCTATTTGTCAATCGAAATGTCATTATGCTACGCATGTCAATATACATTTCAAATTTAATAAGCATGTGTTATAAGTTATAAAGGCCATTGGTCATTGAAGCATTTGACAAAATTCGGACCCAAATGGAAGAGTTAAGTTCTCTAGTTTTATTTGTCAATTCATTTGTCTCTCTAGTGACTGTGTGAAGCTTTGGACCCCTCTTATGTAGTGAGTGGTGTTTACAACTACGAGCCTGAAGTGCTCTTAGTGCTTGAGGTTGGTTCAGGGGTTCAGTGGTGACACAAAGAAGGGAGTAGGAAATGAGTGACAAGGAAAAGTTTTCATGGAGGAAGTAATGCTTGACAAGTGCTGTGGATTTTGGATAAATTCTGAAATGTAACGAAGATGACCTTTAAAGTAACCATTTCCAGAGCTAATGAGTTCATCGTGAGCTGTGGCTTAGTTAAAGACTTTCTTGCATGTTTTCTTTTATTCATTCATTTGTTCATTCATTTAACAAATATTTCTTGACTGAGCAGTCACTATGTGCCTTTAGCAAAATTTATGGTTTTTGCTTTCTGTTTTCCTGCTTTGGGAATATTGCCTCTAAAACTTCAGTATGAGCTGATGTTTGACTATAATTTTTATTGTCCTCAGAGTCCAAGAGTCCAAGCGTGCAGTTTATGTAAGAATTCTTTTGGCCAGGTACCATTTCACTGAATTATAGATAGTTAACTTTAAAATTTTAATATGTGATCTATACTACACACATTACTAGGTGGTGACAGATGTCAAAGTTGAAGAAGCATGTCACTTTTAGGAATAAACAAGAAGAATGAGGAGAATCAGCAGAGCATAAGCCAAGGCTACATTAAAGCTTTGCTTCAATACTCCTAGCTTGTGCTCTAGGCATTGTTCACCTGGGACCCTGCCCAGGGGAGTTTATTATGATAAATATTTCAACAATCTTATAAGAGATGAAATCAGCTTTCCCAAAGTGTGTTCTGAGGTATAGTTTTTTGATTGTTTGTATTTGTTTTTGTTTTTATGGCAGAGGGTAGAGATATGTTGAGTTAAAGAGGTCTCTTCACTGTAGGACTTATCAGGGCCTTTAATATGTCAGTGTGCACTGGCAGAAACAGCATAAGATGTCCCAAACTTCCGTGAATATTGATTCTTTTTCCTGCAGCATCTTGAGGACTATGGTTCCATAAAACATTTTGGAACCTACTGCTCTAAACAACAGTGCATCTTAGTATGCAGAATCTGAGGACAGCAGTGTGGAGCACCCTTGGTGTATTTTAAGTTTCAATGCAAGAATGGGGTGAATAATGAATTAAGGGGTAATTGCATTCCATAACTTGGGTGAGATCCATTTATCTAAAGTGAAGATGAATGCTGAACAATAATCAAATAAATTAGGACTGTCTAGACAACCAGTCTGTCCAATTCAGGGCACATTGAAGTTGTTAGCTTTCATCTATTTATCATTTGAGACAACACTTGTCTTTGAGCTTATCAAAGGAATTAGAAGATTTGCCATTTTCAAAAGCAGGGAATTATTTCTGAAAGGAAGCACAAAATACAGATTGATATTGGGTAGATAGATAGATAGATAGATAGATAGATAGATAGATAGATAGATAGAATAGTTGTATGTATTAGACAAATGTGTGTGCATATTGATATTCTCTGTTCTCTTTTGATAAAAAGTGTAATAATAGGTTCAAAAACCAGAAAATGTACTAGTAGTATTTAGAATCTGCTGACTATTAGTATTTATAATGTGCCAGGTAGCAATGTGTGCTAAGAAGAAAAATAAGACAGGGTAACAGGGACAGAGTGCGGCAGATGATTCTATCACTTGTCTATATTGACAGTAGGGTCACCAGACATTTTTTGTGAGGAATACGAATTTTTTTCTGTCTTTTTGTTTTTTTCTGAAATACAGCATTGTGAATATGCTTAGAGAAGTCAAGTGAAGGAAAAGCCCTTGGTGAGGTAAAGAAGGCAGTGGTGAATGAAAAGCTAGTTCCCACAGTGACAGGACACTTGAGATTTACATCCCAGGAAGGGATGTAAATAGGACAATTTCCTTGAAAGCTAAGCAGGTATTATGAACTCCTCCAGTTAAGTCATTTCCTATACCATTTCTATGGGAACAATTACCATTTCTATGGGGACAATTACCATTTCTATGGGGACAGTTACCATCTCAGGACACAGGAAGCACTGCAGAATCTGGGGGAAATACAGTTTCCATGGGCAGTATCTTTAAGAAGCTAGAGCTTGGTTTGAGGTTGCCATGGCAATCCTGAAGCTGGCTGCCTATATCTCACCCAGGCTCTCCTGATCTAATAACCAGGATTACCATTGTCTGAACTCTCAAATGAGGTGTACTTTTATCAGACTTGCTTTTTTCTTAAAGCTCCCTAATAAATCCATTGACCTATTTTATTTTGGCCTCTGTAAAACCCAAATCATTGAAGAGAGAGAAATCAGGAGAGGAATTGTATTGTTTTAAACTCATCATCCCTATTTAAAATACTTAAATTGCAAAATTATTAAAGATTTGCCTTGCCATGATCCACTATTTTCCTGTTTTTACGTGTTTGCATCTTGAATGTAGTCAGACTCTCTATCCCACACTACCTGCATAATAGCCTCAAAATAACACCACCAATACTAGCACCAATGAAATAATTACTGAACAAAATGTTTATGGTTCTTTTTTGTCTTTAGGATATATACCATTAAAAGTGAACTATCAAATTACTAGGCTTAAAAATCTCTTAGAATATTTCCTCTCCTCAAACACTTGTATACATATTTAGGTATCATTTGTATCATTTTACTAATTTTATCCCTGGTGTCATTCTTATTTCTCTTTCACTCTTATATTCTAACTAATGTTTTGTTTTCTCCTTGAAGTATGTTTATCTCTATAGTGTGCTTCATTTTTTTTTGTAATAGGAGTATAAAGAAAACTAGGTACGAAGTAGCATTAGAAGTACAGAAAATGTAGATTTAAAAACAAGTGTGTACACACATATATTCCCATATCCTGAGCTGACAGGGCCTAGAAGCAATGACATTCCAGTAGCAATGGGCACACCTAGAGCCCAGATCTTGGTTTCTAATACCATTCTCTAATTAAAGGAACCAAGGCTCATTGGAGAAATGGCTGGTTCTAGGGCTAGGGCAGAGAAAGACAAGAAGAGGCTGAAGCATCTTGTAATACCAGAAATTAAGAAAGTGCTCAGACACACACACACACACACACACACACAATGGTGGGAACATGTCAAAGAAACACAGGAGCCAACTGAAAGAGCGCCCAGCGACCACAGCTGAAACAATTTGAGCAACAAAATAAATAATATGATATTGGATTATAACCCAAAGTATAAAACAACTATTGAGTTCATACTGATATAAATGATTAAATGATTAACTAAAGAAATCCATAAACAAAGAGAGGAGAAGAGACAAATCTCCTGAGCAGAATTCTAAATAATTTATATTGAAAATTCACCCTCCAGAAAGTGGGACATAACTCCCCACTTCTTAAGTGTAGGCTGTGCATAGACTTCCTTCTAAAGAGTACAGCTTGGAAAGGGGGATAAAAGAGTAGCTTTATAGTGGAGAAACCTGGCAAACTACCTCAGCCAGGTGATCAAGATTAACATCCGTAATAAGTCATGTTGATAGCATGCACCCTTAATATAATGTTAATCCACAATATTTTCTCTGTTTTTCTGATATTGCCATACTGGCTTAAAATCAATCTTTTATGAAAGTTTTTATTTACAGGTAAAAACCTTTTTTCAGCTTTAAACCAATGAATAAAGTATGAAGCATGGTTCCTCCCTTTGGTAACTTTGAATCTAGTGAGGAAAGCATGATGTAGCAAGCATGTAATACAGGTATTAAATCCTAGGAGGTGATTTTTTTTTTTTAGCTGAGCCATCTGCCACCTGTTGGCAGCTCAGCGGCAGCTCAGCTCGGGCTGGGACTCGAACTGCTGTTGCTCAGAGCTCACACTCTTGAGCGAGCTCTTAACCAAGTGAGCCACTTGGCCGGCCCCATAGGAGGTGATTATAGGGATTTTTTAAGTTGAGAAAAGCACAGATATACTGAGCGCTGATGTAGCCAGGAGAAGTTTCCAGGAAAACATACTCTTCTGTTTACACAATCAAGATTTCTGGAAGAAGTGCACAATAAAGGTTGATTTAGGGGTTCAACAAGTCCTCATATATGATTCAATTATCATCCAAAACAAAAAATATATTTTAAAACTTATTACATTTTGTCACCCAACCTTATAATAGATAAAAAAGTATAATAGATAAGGTACTATATGATAGATTATAGAATTTATAGCTCAGTTAATCACAGTGTAATCAGAATTTATTAGAGAGAAAATAATATCAATGGATTATGTACAATGCCCTGAATTCATTTTATGTATAGACCTGGTTAAATCTTAGGTGTTTCACATTTAGATATTAATATGTTCCTCAATTTTGTTTTCCTTTTTTTGTCCTTTTAGGATTGTCTGCTGCTAAGCTGTTAGCTAAATATGAAGCTAATGTTTTGGTTTTAGAAGCCCGGGACAGAGTTGGAGGTAGAACGTACACTGTAAGGGTAAGTGATTTAAATACTTATATATAATATCTCACACAAACTAGAAGAGGGGTCATTGGAAGACACAGAGCTAGAAGAGATTTCAAGAGTTCATGCAGGGAATCTGTTTGTCCTCCATAACCCTAAACTACTCCATCAAATAAGTGTGCCTTCTTTTCAATAAGCACTCACCAAAAAGTGACAGCCTCTGACTTTCAGTAGCCTACATTCTAGTGAAGAAAACAAACATAAACAAATAACTTCAGTGTAGTGTCTCAGGTGGGGTTACAGTTTGGTTGCACTTGAAGTGAGCCTATGCACACACCTACAACACACAAACACATACACTTAGTGTAGCTTCTTTATTTATCCAAGGCTACAGAAATGAAAAGAAGTGTGGCTGTAGTAAGCAGAGATATGTGGAGCATATTTTTCTGCAAGTATTTCCTTGGTTCTTGTTTCCTAAGAGGTGTGCTGCTGCCAGAGACACTTTTTGCTCAGGTAGGGTTGGCTAGACATGAGAAAGAAGCCCAGTTCTCGCTACATCACTCCTTTTTTATACAGGCATACCTTAATGTATTGCGCTTCACTTTATTGCACATCACAAATGTTGCATTTTTTACAAATTGAAGGTAAGACCCTCTACCAGCCAAAAGATTATGACTTTCCGAAGGCTCAGATGATGCTCAGCATGTTTAGCAATTAATTATTTTTAATTAAAGCATGTACACTTTTTTTAGACATAATGCTATTATTGCACACTAAGTAGACTACAGTATAATGTAAACATAACTTTTCTATGCACTGGGAAGCCAAAACATTCATGTGACTCACCTTATTGGATATTTACTTTGTTGTGGTGGTCTGGAACCGAACCCACAATATCACTGAGGTACTTGGGCCTACATGACCATTCTGGAAAACTGCATGTTAATTATTGTTTACTGCTACGCAAGGAAATGGCTGCAGGTGGTCGAGTCTGTGGGAGCTGATGAAAGTACACAGAGGGAGGGCATGGGGTTGGAGGAAAATAGGGCCAAAGATGCAAGTTTGGGGAGCATGCAGATTTAATGGGGGGCAGAGGCAGATGGGCCAGAGAGAAGCAGTAGACACAGAGGAGGAGGACCAGATTAGAGCAGTGCCGTACCTATCAGTTAGAGAAAGAGGAAGGGATAATAAACAGAGTTAAAGACCAGGACCCTTTGACATAGAATGAAGGCTGAAAAGGCCCTTGTGTTTGGCAGCTAGAAGATCATAAATGAGACCCTTTGCTAGGGCACACAAATAGAGTATTAATGTCTGGGGGTTGGCAGTAAGGACAAAACTAAACTGTGGAAGTGACTGGAAGGAGAGGAAGCATCTATCTAATTAGAAGATGTATCAGACTTAAAACAGAATGGCTTATGCAGTGATAATAACAATGGCTTAAACAATACATTCATTTATTTTACACAAAAAGTCTGGTGGTAGGGTAGTCCAGGCTGGTGCAGGGTTTCAGCTCTGTCATCATGGCTTTAGGCTTTTTCTGTCTTCTCGGCCCTTCTTGCTTATTGCCTGGTGCTAACCAGATGGCTGCTGCGTCTCTCAGCATCAAGTCCTCATTCAAGGCAGGAAGGAGCATAAAAAGGTTGCCCCAGTCTTATCTGCAACAAAGTTTTTCCTTTACCAGAAGACCCCAGCAGACAGCTGCTTTAGTCTCATTGGTCAGAAATGGGATACATCATTACCTTTAGCTAATAGGGAGCCTGGAAAAGCAAATATTTAACATTTCTTGGCTGCATAATAAGCAGGCATGGGAAAGGGGATACGAATAGATATGGAATAGCCAACCAACAACATGTAAACTAGGATATTGTACCAGCTGTTTCAGTCACACCCTTCTGTCATTTGCTTCCTGCCTTTGAGACGTACAGGGATGTATCATGGGCCTGTTTTCACTTTCCTCAGCTAAGACTGCTATAACTGCTCTCCAGCCTTGCTACTCAAAAGTGTCCTGTAGAGCAGCAGCTTTAGAATCACCCAGGAGCTTGACAGAAATGCAGAGTCTCAGTCCCTGTCCCAAACCTGCTGAATTTGCATCTGCATTTTGACAAGGTCCCCAGAGGGCACTACAGAAGTGCTGCTCTATGGTGTATATTTGCTTGCTTGCTTGCTTGTTTTAAATTAATGTAAATCCAGATTAATTGTATTAGGAGCATTTCTGAGTACATTCTCAGATGTAGTTGACTGGGAGGACTACAGATGTAGTACTGGTCTGGGAGACAGGAGACTGGGATTCTGGCCTTTGCACTGGCCTGACACACTGTCTTACTTTGGGTAAGCCCTGTTGGCTCTTTATATCTCAGTTTTTTCAGCTGAGCAGTGAGATACACTCGAAATGTACTTGAAGCTCACTTCCAACTCCAATTCTAATTGAAGGTAGTGTGTTGTAGTTCAAAAGAAGGATTGCATATTCTGCCTGTACAGCCTTATTAGATATGATTCTCCTATCATTTTTTGAAAAAAATATTCCTTCATTTTGGAGATAGTTATTAAGCTGCCCCTTAGCCCTACTTTTCTTATCCCTAAAACATTTTGGTTATTAAATAGGGGCATCAGTTATGTTGCAGATTTTCAGTTAAGAACAAGTTTATTTGTATAAGCAAAATGAGAATTCTAACATGCTTATCCCCATCTATGTTATTGCCCCAGGCTGCTTTTTCGTGCTGCATAATTTATATATGTCAACACCATACAAGAACTATATAATATTGAGCATATTATAACGACCCTTAGGTATGTGAGAATGGAACTCTGAAATGCTTAGAAACTAGGATTTAACATTTATAAGATTTCAAATTAATAGGAGAATAAAAAGGGCTTTAAGAAGCAGGGAGAGAAAAGCTGTTTAATAAGAAACTTAATTGAATATTGTTACAATTACTTCCCCTAGCGTGATCAGTTAGGATTATTTGGGGGGGAGATGTCATAAAAATTAATTTCAATCTTTAAGTACCAAAATGTCAAATTTGATATTGTCACTTGGCATTGTTTAAATAAAGCATCTATTAGTTCAGAATTTCCCAATTTTTCCTAGTGCGATTCCTCAATAATTCTTCAGGACCAAATTAATGAAGTTGAAATGCCTGTAGGACTACCGCAGGCATGGTGTATTTGTTTCCTAATTGGGTTGCATGCTTGTGGCCCCTTCAAAGGCTGAGTAATAAGATGGAAATCAAGACCCTAAAGACTGAGATGCAACATGGCTGAATATGGTATTACAGTTCTATCATCTTCATGCTGAACCTGGGGCATCTCCTTTAGAATGTTTCGACTTTGTAAAGAAACTTTCTGTAAACGCCTCACACATTTTACTACTTCACTTAGGATTATTTACTTTAAAGATAGTGTCAGTTTTCTAAAGACATCATGTTTTTGAAACTCCAAAGTGTTCTCTTGCTGTCTTTGTTAAAGCCTAGAAATTTGTGGGAGTACTGATGCCAATTTTGTTCTTCGTATCTTAAAAAGGATGTTGGAGACTAGAGATTTGGAGAGCAGAACCAACAGTTAGTAAAAGGGAACGTAAAGGTTATATGAGGGGCAGATTAAAGAAGTGAAAGGAACACTTCATTTCTGGTACTATGGCAGAATGGAAACCCTGCTTAATTCTCCACATTGAAATAAATAAAATGCTGAATAAAATATATATGCTACTCTGACATGGAAGTTAGAAATTTGCAGGTCTTCTGGGTGTTGAACAGATATCTCAAATTAACACATCTAAACTGAACTTCTGATCTCCTTCAACAAGATCACTATTCCAGCAGCCTTCCCCATATCAGAGGATGGTAACTTAGAAAAAACAAACAAAGAAACTTGGAGTCATGCTCAACATTCAGTTTGTCAGGAAATTCTTTTGGCTCTGCCTTCAAAATATATCCAGAAGTCAACACTTCCCACCATTTCCAAGGTTACCAGCTGGTGGGAGCCACCATCATCTCTAGGGCAGATTACTGCAATAGCCTCCTAACTGATTTCCCTACTTTCACCCTTGCCCCCTACAATCTAGTCTTACTGCAGCATCCAGAATGAGCCTTCCTACCCTAAGTCTGAATTTGTCACTGATCTGCTGAAAACCTTCCAAAGGCCCTCCTTCTCACGCAGAGTAAAAGCCAGTGACCTTACCATGCCTTGTGAGGCTTCCCATGACTTCCCGCTAGTAACCTCTCTAACCTCATCTCTAGTTCTCTTTGCCTGGCTCACTTTGTTCTAGCCACATTGACCTCCTTTTTCTTGAACACACAAGGCATACTTCTGCCTTTGAATCTTTGTGCTGGCTCTTCCTTTTGCCAGGAGTTCTCTTGTCCCAAATATGCATGTGGATAATTCCCTCACCTCCTTCAAGTCTTTATGCAGTTATCACCTTTTCAAGGAGGCCTACATGTCCCTTGTATTTTAAGTTGAAATCATCCCTTCTCTCCTCTGCAGTTTTAATCTGCCTTATCCTATGGTAATTTTTTTCTTTGCCATTGTTGCTATTGACTTCTAAGATATTTATTATATTTGTGGTTCATTTTCTGTCTCCTCCTACTGAATATAATAAGCTCCTTGAGAGCAGGGATCTTTGTTTTGTGCACTGATGTAACAGAAGCTCCTTGAAAAGTACTTGGCACCGTGTAGGAGGAGCTCAAGACATATTTGTTGAAAGAACAAACTGAATCCCCAAAGCCAAGTAAAAACATAAAGCCTAAGAAGCTCAAAATTTGACTTTCACATTGAATGCCTGCTGAACTCTGAAACTTTACAGTTCCACTGTCATGGCTGTATGGCATGCAGAGAACAGGAGATGAAACCCAGAACCTGTTGAAGGTAGAGAATTTTCATAGGAATCACTCCAAATTGGAATACCTTCTGCTATACCCTGTACATGAAAGTGAAAGAGAAATAAACCTTACCATTCAGAAAGGGAGAAGAATAAAACTTGCACTCATTCATAGTTTCCATCCAAATTTGCACTGCCTATATGTTATGAAAAACCTTAGGCAGAATATTTAAAGTGCCAAGGTGGCTGGCAGAAATAGACTCAAATCCTTTCTACCCAGGCCTCAAATAACTTACACAGAAAAAGTTCCAAGGAAAATGAGCAACTCACAGTTAAAAATGGCAAAATATACAAGGAAACAAGGCACCAAAAGAGAGTAAGCATTGAAAAAAAATCCAGAAAGATTTTGTAACAGTTGAATTATACACAGAATTATTGTTTAGCATGTTTTTTAAAAAAAGAAGTTCTTAAAACTAGGAGCAGGGGGAAAACAACTAAAAAAATGATCAAGTAGTTTAAAAAATAATTTCTAGAAATGAAACTGGACTAATTAAAATGAAAACACTCAGGGATAGATTAAACAGTACATTAGACACAGCTGAAGTGGGTGAACTAGATATGAAGAAATGATGTAGAATGCAGTTCAGAAATAAATATTGGAAAATGTGCCACTGGGAGTGGTAGGGGCAGCTAAGACATGGAAGATAGTGTTATAATGGCATAAAAAAATAATGGCTGAGGATTTTCCAGCATTGTTGGAAGACATCAGGAAATCTAATATGTCCAAAGCAGAATAAATCAAAAGAAATTCTCACCCAGACACAGAGAAGCTGCAGTATACCAAAGAAAAGAGATCACAAAAGCAATTTTGTTTAGAAACAAAAAATGGCAATCATACCTAATCTGAAAAGAATAAACAATTAGACTTATGAGTGACCTTCAACAGCAAAAATAGATGCTGGAAGATAGGGAAATATCTTCACTATTCTGAGAAGGAGAAACTAACCAGAATGTGTTACGTGCTAGAACTATCTTTTTGTCAGATGGACAAAAATAGACAGTTTAGGACCCAGATTGGTGGAAATTATAAAGGATGTGTTTCAAGCCAAAAGAAAATGATTACAAATAAAAATACTGAGATTCAAGAGGACAGTGAGCAGATATTGGCAAATATTTAAATAAAATTCAGCAATATCAACAACAGAATAAACATAATAATGTCAAATTTGTTGGATGACAAATAAACCTGAAACAAAGTATTTTTATAGTTTATAAATTGGGAGAAGGGTAATCACACTTGAATCACAAAGGTTTTTGTATTTTTCAGTAGAAAGATAAATATATTGATAAATTTTATATTAAGTATGCATGTTAATATAGCTAGAAAAATGTCTAAAAGAATAGGCCTGACTGTGTAACTTCCAAATAACTAGAAGAAAAGACTTAAAAAGAAAACAAAAGGAAGAAAACCCTTAACCAAAAAGAAGGAAAGAAATCAGGGAGGAAAGCTGTCAAGGTGGGACAAATGGAAGGCCATAATAAAATAAGATGCAAAGTAAAGACATTTTAAAAGAAATAATAATAAATAGAGTGGGCTAAACTTGTCAATTAAAAGGAAAAAATGTTAGAATAAAGAAAACTTTAACTGAAAGAGAAAAAAGATATAGAAATATTAATCTAAGCTGTTATAACTATATTAATATCAACAATAAACTTTAAACAAAAAAATGTTATTGAAATAAGTGAGTACATAATGATAAAAGACCTAGAAGATTGAACAATTTTAAACCTGTGTGCATTGAATAATGTAGCCTCAAAATATAAAGCAAGCATTGACAGGAATCAAAGAAAAATGCCCAATAGAGTAAGTAATTTTTAATATACTTTTCTAAGTTAATAATAAGGTAAGCAAACAGAAAAGGCTGAGCACAGTTAATCTTATTCTAATGGACATGTATAAAACATGCATACAAGTGTAACTTCTTATAGACTATATGTTCTTTTCTAGCAGGAAAATCTTTGAAAATTGACCATGGGCTAGGTCATAAAGTAAGCCTCAAGGATTGTTATCATATAAACCACATTCTTTGACCACAATACAATTGTGACACAAAGATAACTAAAAACCATTCCAGCTGTGGAAATTAAAACACAACAAAACTTTTAGAAACATCGATTTAGAGAGAAATTGTCATGGCAATTTGAAAACACTTAAAACTGCACAATAATGGAAATACTAAAAAAAGTTGTGGATGTAGCTAAAAAAATTTTTAGAGCAAAATGTATACCCTAAACAGAAAAGAAAAAAAGGCTCAATACAAATAAGCTAAGCATGCAAAGAGTTAGAAAATGAAGAGTGTAGTAAATTCAAAACAGAAGGAAAAAAGAGCATAAATCAATGATACAGAAAATAAATACTCAGTAAAGAGGATCGATGAAACAAAGGTTAATTCTTTGAAGAGATTTATTAAAAATAGACAAGTGCCTGATAAGATTTTTCAAGGGAAAAAGAGACATCCCAAATAAACAATGAAAGGGATAAAAATGAAGATATAACTATGGATGTAATAAAGAATAAATAAATGAGAAGAGAATGTCATGAACTGTAAACCAATAGGTTTGAAACGTACATGAAATGCATATATTACAAGAAAATATAATTTATTAAAGTTAATACTGATTTAAGAAGAAATAGGAAATGAGTAGTACTGTAGCCTCAAAATAAATTGAATCTGCAGTTCAAGATTTTTCCCACAATGAAAACACTAAGCCTAGATAGCTCTACATTGTGTTCTACCTAATGTTCAAAGAATAGATAATTCTATTTATATATGGATCTTTCTAGAGAGTAGAAGAAAGTATGATCATTAACTCGTGAGATTAGCAATACTCTAATGCAAAAAAAAACCAGACATGGGCTGTAGAAGGAAGGAGAATCACAGGCCGATCTCAATCTTATTCATGACCATAGATATAAAAATCCTGGGCCAGCCGAGTGGTGCGTTGGTTAAGAGCTGGCTTGGGATGCCAGAGGGCCCCAGTTCGGATCCCACATATGGGGGCCAGTGACACTGCCCTCTACAGCTAAGATGCTGAACAACAGCTCAACCTGGAGCTGGGCTGCCATGAGTCGCCAGCGACAGTGTAGGCTGCAGCCCCTGTGGCAGTGGGTTGCTATGGGCTACCGTATGTAGCCAGCAGCCAGCGTGAGCGGCCAGCAGCCGCCGTGAGCGGCCGTCCAGAAGCCGGTGACTGATCTGCCTTGCCCGGGAAGAGCACAATGATGGTGCCAACTTGGGCCAGTGAAGCAAAGTCCTCCACAACTAGACTGAAGAACAAAAAGGACAGCAACTTGTCTGTTCCCCTTCCCCCAATTCCCCAGTGCTGTTTCCATCCCCCAATTCCCCAATAAAAAAATCTTTAAAAAAAATCCTAAACAAAATGTTAGCAATAACTGATTAGGTAAATTGTTTCTACCCTTCTACTAAATACAAAGAGATTAGACAAATTGCTCTGTACACACACACACACACACACACACACACACACACACACACATCTTCAAAGCATAAGAGAGCTAACAGGTACTGAAAAATCACTGGGCCAACATCCAGAAGGAAAAGATTAACCTACTTTCCCCCTGTAGGCGAGTGGGATATGTGTGTGGGGTGGAGTTTGCTGACCACTGAAGAGGCAAGTGAGAGGCTGAGTAGTGCTTTCAAAAGTCTTAGGAAGCTAGGACAACTGAAGGTCAAGTCCAGAGCCCAGCAAAGTATGTGTTTATGGAGGCAAGTGTTGGCAAACTCCTTGTGCTTTGGGTTTGACTGTGTCCTAGGACTAAGGGCAAACTGCAAAAGGACTAGGCCACATGTGCATTTCAGCCCAGCTTCTCAGGCATAGAAAACGCAATAAAGTTATCTGGTATTGTTAGCACCCCCAGGTGCTTGGCAGAAGCAGACATAACTCCTCTCTGAGAAAGATACCCTCCTAGTATTCAAATTATATCCACGTTTTTTCAAATTCAATGAGTGGCAGGCAATTAAAAATAATCAGGCAAACAAGAAGAGGCAACATGAATGAGAACTGGTATTAACAGCAAAGTAGAAACAGATCTAAAAGAAGTTATTACAAATACATAGAGGAATTATAACTCACCAATATTCAATTTATTGATGAAATTATTTGGGAATGTGTTATTGAAAATGCTGGAAAAAATGTAGAACTGCATTTAAGAGGGGGCAAGTAAATTTGAGTTTTATAAAGGTTTGTATATTTATAAACTAATTTGTTAAGTATATGAATCTTTTTATACCTTTTTGTATTGTTTTCCTATGATGCATTCTTCTCTGCAAGTGTTTTAAAATCACATCAAGAGCGGACTGATTTAAGAGTTCATCTGTTGGAAATCAGAGAATGAGGCCTAGTAAATCTTTGCATGGCTCCTCCAGCAACAACCCCAAAGAAAAGCATAGAAAATAACCTAAATGTTTTGAAAAGGGTCTAGATCAGCAGTACTACACAGTGTTCTTTACCGGGAGTGCCAAAAAATATATACAAGTGGACACTTTGGTCAACGTTGCTCAAGCAGTAGTTCGCCGTAATCAGAAGTGTCTGGGTGCTGATGGGAACCACTTTGAGCACCTCTTGTAATTGCAGAAGTCAAACGTGACTTGTGTTCGTCTTTTGTTATTGGTATATATTGTGTATTACAATTTTAATACAGTTTTCCTTTCTTAAAATGTTTTTTTGGCACCCTCTGTATTCTTTATTTAGTTATCACTGAATCGGCCTCACCAATAACTACACAAGTGGGATTGTTTGGTGATGGATGTCATACAGGGTTATGCCAAGTTCTTGAGTGGAGGAGAAAGGATTGCTATTTTCAGTTGCAATTTATCAGAGAGATGTAAGGCACATTTGAGTTGTAAAAAATAAATGTTTTTTATAAGACCATAGAAGCTTTGTTTTTTCAAGTTTTAACTAAAGTCTTCTCATCACTTTTTCTCTTTCTACAGAACGAACATGTTGATTACGTAGATGTTGGTGGGGCTTATGTGGGGCCAACCCAGAACAGAATCTTAAGGTTATCTAAGGAGCTGGGTTTAGAAACTTACAAAGTGAATGTAAAGGAACGTCTTGTACAATATGTCAAGGTAAGCCTGATGTTTTACTCAAGGGACCAATGTGGGGAGTATTGTGTTTGGGAAAGCATTTGGTTTTGTTTTTAGTTGGTTTTCTTTTCTCAAATCAATCCTAAAAATAGTTGGCTTTAAAGTAGTATTCTGCCTTTCTTTTCCTTTTTAAAAAATCCCTGTGGACTCCTGGAATCACTGCAAGGGGTCATGCCTCAGCTTGGCCTCTGCATCACTCACTGTGGCCCCTGAAGGCTGCTCCCGCACTCCTAGTCCAACGGGCACCTGACATACACTCACTCTCTCTCTCTCTCTCTCTCTCTCTCTCTCT